ACTTCTGAGACTGAACCTTCCATCGTGAAACTTATCGAGAAATTGAGTGAACCTTCCATCGTGAAATTTATCGAGAATCAAAGCGAACACTTATCAAAATTTGTCTTCAAAAAGATTTCAATGATTGACATACCGAAGACTTCAAAGCTCCATCGCTATGTTAATAAGGTGAGAAAACTTTATCATGCACGATATAAATGTAATAACAAACGCGATCCAAAGATAATTAACTTAAATAAAATGGCTATACCCAAGAAAGCTTATTTGTTGTCTTTCTTTAGCAGGCATTATCACAGGATAATGAAACTAAAAATAATGTAAAGCACGTCGATCTTTATCATTGTTTTCTTGCAATTGAGTGAGTCATATGACCAATTATGTGAATTTCAAACTAAGTAAAGATGTTGAGAAGAATCCAGGACCTACTCAATACAACACTGATCATCATGAATTAATAATTAGACCTTCTATGCAAAATCACAGCTCAACATTGGTTTAGGTCACACTAGAGACTTTACTATGGTAAAAAGGGCTTTACTATGGTAAGTCTCGCAACGTCTTCTTTACCGTAGTAAACCTGACAGGTCCACTTAAAAAGGCATTTGAAACTTTCCAGGCGTTTTTTCTCGCGTGATCGGTAACGTGAGAGTGAAAAGTAAAACAAATGATGACCTGCTATGAGAGCTGACAAAATTGAAATTACTGAACTGTAACTTCCTGAGCGTGACCCTCACAAGTGTACAAAGATGCTTCAATGTGAGAGAGTATTGTTTTCTGTTGTGAGCATTTTGCTTTTAATTCTGCTGCTCAGACGAGCAAGAAGAATGCGCTCCCTTATTACCTACCTTGGTTTGAATCTGGGTTAGTGAAGATGTTTTAGTGACAGGTTTATTGATTACTCATCGAAGACGTATTCTTAGAGAAAGAGCGGCATTGCGAAGGCAAGCGTGGGTTTAACCTCGACCCCAGGAATGGTTTGAAGAAATATACAGAAACAGAAACCTTCAAGCACTGTGGAAAAAGCAATCACCGATGTTCTAAAGCTATTCTGTTATGTGACCCTTTTTGAAACTACTTTCCTCAAAAATCATGACAAACAGTCAACAAAACAAACAAAGTTTAGATAGACTAGAGATATACCCACCTATTTTTTTTGGTAACCAGATGGTTATCGGTGATGGGTCATCTTTGTTCTTTCCATGTAGTCATGGAAATTAACCAGGGTAGAGTTTACCATTGTAAACTGAAAATGCCGGTCACACTTACGGCGCCCGTTTACTATGGTAAACTTGAGTTTACTATAGTAAACTTTCTCTAGTGTGACCTCAACCAATGCAGTTGAACTCTCCTATTTCCTCTGAGAATTTGATGCAGTCAAGATTAGGTGCACTTTGTTTACAATCAATAGATGTTGGCGGTGCAGGTGATTGTTTCTTTAGATCTGTATCACATCAATTATATGGCAAAAGCAACCATCACATGCATATCGTACTGCTGGGGTTCAATTTATGAGAGACAATCCTGAGAGATTTATTGAGAGCAATACCGAAAATTCATGGATAAGATATCTGAATAATATGTGTATTCAAGGTACATGGGCTGATGCACTTATCATTCAAGCAGTTGCAGATATACTACTGTTTACCCAGTTCAGGAAAGAAATACTTCCTCTACAATAATTACTATAGGCCATATTGATGAATGCCACTATGTATCAACCACTGCCTTACAATCAAGTGCCTCCATTTCAATGTGCAATGAATTAACAAATGATACTCAGTCATCAATAAATAAGCATTTTATTATGTCTGTATATAACACTGGATGACATTTTTTACAGTGCAAGACAACAATCCATGACCACAAAGATCTATTTCAAAAATGTCTTATGTCTGTTATCATTTCAAATTCACAGTGTTTTCGCAAAAAATAGATAAATGTGATTAATAAATCTCAATGATAAACCTGATGATAACGTACTTGAGAAAATGTGAAATTGTGATAATTCTGTAACAAACTTCTTTGCAAACTTTGTCATTACCATTCAACCCAAAACTGTCAGTGATTTTTCCTTTTCACTCAAACTTAAAAACAAATGAAAACCTTATACAGATCACACTTATTGACATCACAGTGTTACTAAAAACACTACTATAACACAGACCGTTAGCTGTAATAACACTGAACAAACTTACAACAACATCCTCCTTTCTCATGCATTTTGTTGCTTTTCTTCTGCATGAGTTAATTCAGACTAAGTATTAGCCTCCACAGAGGAGGGGGGAGGGGTGCGAGAGGTAAACTATATCTATGCAATCCCGTATCCGACTGGGCCCCGGTAAGTTCCACGTAGTGGTTCTAGTTCACACTAAGCTACTTACTTCTTATTGAATTCATCTTACCATTGCATTACTTCATTCACGCGCGTCTTTTTTACAGTTTGACCTGGCAACGAATAGCTTTGTTTTTCAGTCACAACAAAGGATCAATGTAACTTTTTCATACCAACCCTAACTTTAATTTTGAGGATGACGTATCGGTCTTAAAGAATCATGACTGATTTGGCTGATGACTTTGCAGGTTTATCGTTAAAGGATGTTGCGGGAAATAGGTTCGCATTATTAAACGAAATCCAGGAACAAGTCTGTTCTGCAATCAGCACTCTTCACAGTGGAAAAGATCTGTTATCAATAAAGAAGGATGCTCAATACATCTTGGAGCAAGTCAACAAGAACCTAGATTTGATCAAGGCTTCATGCAAGGAAGAAGGTACTAATCGACACTTGGCGGTTAGCGGATTTTATACATTGTCTGGTGGTTGGATCATGCCTTGGGGGGTACTCCTGGGAATTTTTGGCGAGGGTGTGCCGCCCAGTTCTCCAAATGCCGACTCTATTTCGGACAAAAAAATGCCACTTTTCACACCCTTATTTAGACCTGGTCTTTAAGAAATTATGTCATTATTACTTAAATTAGAACAACAACAACAAAAAAGTGTGAGCCCAGTTTCCCGGGGTACTCCCATACATTACCTATACGGGTATGTGGCGCCCAAAGGGGTCGTGATTTTGAAGCTCCTGATTTAGAACGGGGTATCCATTTCAGAGGCGTTTTCTAGAACGGGGTATAATATTTCGAATGCACGAAAGCTCCACTTTTGTAAGCAGCTATTTGAAAGTATTCAAGGACAGATTGCTTTTAAAAATACGGTTCAATGCGTTAACAAGCAAACTGTTGTACTCTTGTTGCACCCAAGAACGGAGTATAAAAAATTGGCCCATTTCTAGAACGGGGTATCAGTTTTAGGGCGAGTACTAGAACGGGGTATGAAAAATTGGCCCATGTCTAGAACGGGGTATCAATTTTAGGGGATATTTTTTCTAGAACGGAGTGCCAATTTGGAGTCCCGGGCGGCACATACCCACCCAAAAAATACCCAAGAACCCCCTTCCAGCCCAGGGTCAGTCCATCAGATTTAAGTGGCTTTAAATGACACGTAAATCATACATTCATATTACAACAATCTGTAGTGTTTCATTCATTTATTAGTCATTATTTTGCTGCAATATATCATGTTCTAAAAAGGTATCCAGAGATTGAACTTGTGATAGTCAGGTAAATTCCTTGTCCTTTCCAGAGGAGAGCGGATGAGGGCTTTGTCTTTGTCGGAATTTTAAAAAAAGGGGGATAGCGATGAGTTGTAAAGAAACTATTACAGTTCTGCAATTTCTCAGTTAACATTTCGTGTATCGAACACCTAGGCAAGGTGGTCTACTCTGTAAGAGCGGTTGGAAGGTCGGTGGTTAGGTTACCTGGTCCCTGGTCTCTCCACCATCGTCACTGTCATGTTGCTTACATTAGACAAGAAACTTAAGGTGGCTCCGTCATTTATACTAGAGCATTTAGCTGTGACAAATTTTCCATCATAACTTTTTTGGTTTTAACGCGATGGCTGCAAAACCATTGCAAAAAACAACAGGAGTTATTCGGTAATACAATATGAACTATTCCGATTTTATTGATGCTATATATTTCTTGAGAAATTAGTGCTTAAAAGGACCCTACTGTTCAAAGAAAATCGCGTCTAGTAAAAAATTTTGCTGATATTTTTACTGAATTTTGTGCTATTGGTTTTTATTGATATAATAAATATTCCAGCGAGATTTCAGAAAAATCTTTGGAGCAGAAGTCTGTAACTAAAAGTCACTCAAAATTCAGCTGTGAAATTGTTGTGGAATTTAAAACGTTAATTACTATCACGTAGAAGGAGCCACCAGTTCAAATTTTCGGGACAAGTATATTCAATGTTTGCTAATTCTGAAAACAAAAACCAATTGCCTATTGTGCTATTCTTTAAATGGTACTTTTTAGTTTAAGAAGCAGTATAAATTGCTCCAAACCTTGTTCTGACGTCGAATGCTTTGTTTCTCAACATTTTTAAAGTATCCCTTAGCAGTTTTGGCTCAAACTCCGGCTACATACATTTCGATGTATTGCAATGCATCCTCGATGGCTTTTCCTGCATTACATTGCTTCCAATTCATGAAAAAGACGTCTGATGTTTGTTCTCTGATGTCTAATGTCAGACGTCTGATATGGGATGTCTGCTGTCATATAATTTTTTTATCAGACGTCTGATTTTATATGTTATGTTATGTAACTGTTATCAGACGTCTGATGTCTGATTTTCTGTTATGTTATATAACTGTTATCAGACATCTGATGTCTAATATCAGACGTGTGATAACAATTATATGGTGTCAGACTTCTGATAACAGTTATATGTCAGCAGACGTCTGATATCAGACAAATAACATCAGAAGTCTAATAACAGTTATAAAACAGCACACGTCTGATGTCAAACGTCTGACAAGAGTTATATGACAGCACACGTTTGATGACAAACCTTCTGACATCAGATGCCTGATGTCTGATATCACACGTCTGATATGACATCAGACATCTGATAACAGTTACATGACAGCAGATGTCTGATGTCAGATGTCTGCTGTCATATAACTGTTATCAGATGTCTGATGTTATATATTTAGCAATTATTCGCCGAAGGCGAAGTTAATATTGTTGAATAATCCTCAGGATGAAGTCAAGGGGATTATTCAACAATATTAACTGAGCCTGAGGTTTTAATTGTTTTAGTATATTCACACGTAATGTCAGTCGTCTGATGTTTGTTGCCTGATGTCAGACGTCTGACATGAGACGTCTGATGTCATATGTCTGATACCAGATGTCTGATATCAGATGTCACATGTCTGATATCAGACGTTTGATGTCTGATGTCACGTCTGATGTCAGACGTTTGATGTCTGATGACAGACGTCTTATGTCATATGTCTGATGTCTAATGTCAGATGTCTGATGTTTGTCTGATGTCATCAGATGTCTGATGATAGACGTCTGATGTCATATGTCTGATATCAGTCATCTGATGGCAGACGTCTGATATTAGATGTACGATGTAAGATGACTGATGTTGTTTGTCTGAAGTCAGATGTCTGGTGTCAGATATCAGATGTCAGACATCCGATGTCATTTTTATACAAGAGTTTTGAGCGGCACAAAAATTGAAATTTCTAGAGTGGGGGATTTTGTTAGGTCTTACTACCAGCCCTTGGTTTTTTTTTTTAGTTTTGATTATATCCTCTTTCAATCTTTCCTGCCACTCACACTTCCGAGTTTCACTCCTATAGGACTGAGGAAGGGTACTCTCTTATATAAACTATATAAGCATGCCTGTTCCCACCCACAGGGAGAGTGAGTCAGAAGGAATTAGCATCATGGGAGCGACTTGGAGAGGGAGGGTTCTCAAGTGTTTACAAAGCAAAACTCAAAGGCAATGATGTAGCTGTCAAGGTTCTGAAAAATCTCAAGGAAACCAAGTCACTGCTTACAGAGGGAAATCTCCTAAGGTAGTTCTACTCATGATTCTCAGAGGTTACTCAATTTCTCAGCTACAGAAGGTGGAAAATATTGTTTTGGTTTTACGATCAGGCATTTGTGGATTTTATCACATGGGGAAGATTAACTTAACCTGTTATCAAGTATTTCAGGGTATTGAAATTCTGTTAATTATTAATATGGTGGTATCCGTAGTGTACTACTCTACACAGAGCAGGCCAGAAGTGTTGGAAAATACTATAATGCTAACAGAAAAATATTAGAAATACACCCTAAGTTGAAAGAAGTGTAGTTGTCAGTATAGTGCTGAAATTATTAGTCATTTCATCTGAAAGTACCCTGAACATCAGCATGATAATTATGCATTTTTTACGTAATAATTATTGCCCCTGTTTAGTATAAAGCTTCATGTTTTCTAACTAATTGTCCTAATTAGTATTTTTCTTTGTATTTCAACAGGGATCTTCGTCATTACAACATTGTTGCATTTAGAGGAATGAATATTTTGCAAAGTGATATTGTACACGAGAAATTTACTCTAAAAGCAGGCAGTCCTTTCCTAGTAATGGAATACATCCCTAAGAATCTGTACAGATTTGTGGAAGATCACAAAACTCCTGAATCTCAGGGACTTCCCAGAAGTCAGGTGTGGACTATTGGCAGAGGAATGGCTAACGGTTTGATGTACCTGCATGGTTTGAATCCACCCATAAGCCACAGAGACTTGAAGCCTGACAATATTCTGGTAAGTCTCTCTCTTTTTAAGACTATGTTGTTATTTCTCTTTTTGGGTAAAGACTGTGTGATTGGTCCATTAGATCCACTGAATTCTGAGACTTTCTATAGGTATTTCTGATTGCTGTTGATGAGACAATGCTCTTAGAGATGAAAGTGGCGAATGCTTCCTGGTGGGCACTCCCCCATAAAAGTGATGGGAGCCTTCCCCCCCCCCTCATTCTGATCAAGTTTGACAATGTAAGTTTTGCAATGATGGCATAAAAATGTGCCAAAAAGTGAGCTTCACATTTATCAAGTAAGGGGTATCCAACAATGAATGAATCCTTTTTTCAAATTTTCTTGAATGAATGAATGCCTCCATGGTGTGATTTGTGCATGCTGCAGAAGGAAATGAGTCCAGGGATGTGGTATATTATTTTTATAAGCCATGTGGTTAAATGAGTTATAATTTGAGGTTTGTTCATTTGACTGCATTATTAGCTGGATGTCAGGGGTTTGAAGGTTAAATTAGCGGACTTTGGTTTGTCACGGACAGTAGAAAGAACTGGAAATGATCTCTCTTTATTCCATGCACGCTGGACAGCTCCTGAGGTTTGGGAAGAGTACATGTACTTTGATGAAGAGCCTATAGAAGGTAAAGGTCCATGAAAACACAAATTGTCAATGCACTTATTTACATTTCATTAAAATTATATAAAGGTGTTCCTGAATTTTTTTGTTTTGTAAAATTGCTGATGATATCAAACGCAGACCACAATTTTTGGGCAACACTGTTTATTGACTAGCAAATCAGACTTGAGATCAATAAATGAAATCACTGGGGGTGGAGTGGGTGGGAAAAAGTTGACAAGCTCCAAACTGGCTGAAAACGCCTAAGTGATCTGGAAGACGATCTGCTGAGGCAGCTACTATGGACAGCTAAGGGGCATGTTCTCATTTGGTAATTACCCATCATCACCTTGGGTGATTTTGGTTCTCTGAATTGTAATAATAGTGCACCAAATAACTGTAGGAAAACGTGCTACAACAATCAGTCAATAAAAATATTTCTATTTAAAATACTTTCAGCTGAGAATGACTATGTTGGAATTGGATTTAATATTTTATTCTAAATTACTACTTCACCTCCAGAAAATGAGGCTCTTGAAGACCAGCCCACGGAAGATTTCACAGATAACCAAGACGATGAGTTATTTTTCCTGCGTGCTGACATCTACTCTTATGGACAAGTGGTAACTTACACTTTAACAGGAAAGATGCCATGGCATGGCCGGAACTCTGTGAGTGTAGAAGAAATTCAAAATAATATGATTCAGTCTCTTGATCAGGTTGAGATTCCTGAGAAACTGAGTGAAAAACTGACGAGTGTTATTCTTGACTGTCGCCTGGAAGACCCACAAGCACGTCCTACAGCTGATAGATTAGTTCTAGATTACTTTTGTGGTAAGGGCATCATTTTATTGATTTATATTTAACTGTGATACTGCTTAAGGATAATGATCTTGACCACAGATGTGATCCTTAAAGGTCGTTTTGCCAGTGTCCTGTTCGCTAATATCTTAAGTTGTTTTGCTAATGTGTTAACTCATTTTCCCAACTTTTATCACCTGATTAATGGCTTAAAGAGGGAGGTATACAAATGTGTATCGACCTTTTTTGTCATGGCTGCAACAGTGAGGTATATACTCAGGGTTTTCATTAAGAATTGAAATTTCTAGAGTAGGGGATTTTGTTAAGTCTCACTACCAGCCCCTAGTTTTTTTTTTTTGAGTTTTGATTATGTCCTCTTTCAATCGTTCCTGCCACTTTCACTTCCTAGTTCCACCCCTGTAGGACTTGAACCAGGGGGAGGGTACTCTCTTATATAAACTATATGGGCCTGCCTGTCCCCACCCCTGGAGGAGTGTATTGCTGCCAGAGTTGTATTAGGTTTAAAGAAGTTTGACCATATCTCCCACGGACGGAGATCTCTTAAATGGTTAGATGTTACGGAGAAGGTTCTATTTAGTGACTTAGTTTTAGTATTCAAATGTGTAAATGACTTAGCTCCAGATTATTTAGGTAAATATTTTATTAAACGTTCAGCTGTTCACAACAAGAACAGTCAAGGGGATGTAACAATTTTGTGGTCCCTTGATGTAGACTATCAGTGGGACAAAGGGCATTTTATTTTCGGGGTCCAAAGGAATGGAATGGGCTACCTGACAATATTAAGAACACTAAAGATATTGATAGTTTGAAGTGGAGACTTTTTAATAAGATATTTCATACGAAATAATTTTGAATATATTTTGAATAATTTTGAATGTATTTTGAATTTAATTGAACTACTGTAAATAAGTTTTCTTTTCTCAATTATCAGTATTATGTAACAATTAACATTGTGACTGAAAAGACCTGTTGAAGGGAGTCTCAATAAAGTATGTATGTATGTATATATGTATTCTCTGAGGGTATTCTCTTATATAAGCTATATAGGCATGCATGTCCCCACCCCTGAGTGAGGGTACTCTATTAAAAAAGCTATATATATTCTCTTAAATAAGGTGTATAGGTATGCCTGTCCCCACCCCTTTAGGACTTGAATCTGGGATGTCCAGTACCCTATTACCACTCAACCATGTTTGTCAAATATTGCAACATCATCAGGGTTGAGGAGTACAGGGAGAGTGAGTCAGAAGGAATTAACATCATGGGAGCAACTTGGAGAGGGAGGGTTCTCAAGTGTTTACAAAGCAAAACTCAAAGGCAATGATGTAGCTGTCAAGGTTCTGAAAAATCTCAAGGAAACCAAGTCACTGCTTACAGAGGGAAATCTCCTAAGGTATTTCTACTCATGATTCTCAGAAGTTACTCAGTTTCTTAGTTACAGGAGATGAAGAATTTTGTTTTGGTTTGGCAATCAGGCATTTTTGGATTTTATCACCAGGGGAAGATAAAATTAATCTGTTATCAAGTACTTCAGGGTGTTAAAAATTCTGTTAACTATTAATATGGTGGTATCTGTAGTGCACTACTACTCCACACAGAGCCGGCCAGAAATGTTGGAAAATACCATAATACTAACAGAAAAATATTAGAAATACACCCAACACTGAAAGAAGTGTAGTTATCAGTACAGTTGTATAGTGCTGAAACTATGAGTCATTTCATCTGAAATTACCCCTGAACATCAGCATGATAATTATGCATTTTTTGTCACTTATTATTGCTCCTGTTTTGTATAGCTTGGTTCATTTTTTCTAACTAATTGTGCTCATTAGTACGTCTCTTTGTATTTTAACAGGGATCTTCGTCATGACAACATTGTTGCATTTAGAGGAATGAATATTTTGGAAAGTGATATTGTACATGAGAAATTTACTCTAAAAGCAGGCGCTCCTTTCCTAGTGGTGGAATACATCCCTAAGAATCTGTACAGATTTGTGGAAGATCACAAAACTCCTGATTCTCAGGGACTTCCCAGAAGCCAGGTGTGGACTATTGGCAGAGGAATGGCTAACGGTTTGATGTACCTGCATGGTTTGAATCCACCCATAAGCCACAGAGACTTGAAGCCTGATAATATTCTGGTAAGTCTTTCTCTTTTTAAGACTTTGTTGCTATTTCTCTTTTTGAGTAAAGACTGTGTGATTGGTCCATTAGATCCACTGAATTCTGAGACTTTCTGTGGGTATTTCTGATTGCTATTGATGAGACAATGCTCTTAGAGATGAAAGTGGTGAACGCTTCCCGGAGGGCACTCCCCTATAAAAGTGATGGGAGCCCCCCCCCCCTCCCCGGGGAACACTTTACCATTCTGATCAAGTTTGACAATGTAAGTTTTGCAATGATGGCAAAAGAATGTGCCAAAAAGTGCACTCTACATTTATTAAGTAAGGGGTATCCAACAATGAATGAATCCTTTTTTCAAATTTTCTTGAATGAATGAATGCCTCCATGGTGTGATTTGTGTATGCTAGAGAAGGAAATGAATCCAGGGATGTGGTATATTATTTTTATAAGTCATGTGGTTAAATGAGTTATAATTTGAGTTTTGTTCATTTGATTGCATTATTAGCTGGATGTCAGGAGTTTGAGGGTTAAATTAGCAGACTTTGGTTTGTCACGGACAGTAGAAAGAACTGGAAATGATCTTTTGTTATTCCATGCACGCTGGACAGCTCCTGAGGTTTGGGAAGATTACATGTACTTTGATGAAGAACCTATGGAAGGTAAAGGTCCATGAAAACACAGATTGTCAACGAACTTATTTACATTTCATTAAAATTATATAAAGGTGTTCCTGAATTTTTTGTTTTGTAAAATTACTAATGATATCAAACACAGACCACAAGTTTTGGGCAACTCTGTTTATTGACTAGCAAATCAGACTTGAGATCAATAAATGAAACTACTGGGGGTGGAGTGGGTGGGAAAATGTTGACAAGCTCCAAACTGGCTGAAAAAGCGTAAGTGATCTGGAAGATGATCTGTTGAGGCAGGTACTATACGGACAGCTAAAGGGCGTGTTCTCATTTGGTAATTACCCTTCATCACCTTTGTTGATTTGGGTTCTCTGAATTGTAATAGTGCACCAAATAACTGTAGGAAAATGTACTACAACAATCAGGCAATAAAAATATTTCTATTTAAAATACTCTCAGCTGAGAATGACCATGTTGGAGTTGGATTTAATATTTTATTCTAAATTACTACTTCACCTCCAGAAAATGAGGCTCTTGAAGACCAGCCCACAGAAGATTTCTCAGATAGCCAAGACGATGAGTTATTTTTCCTGCGTGCTGACATCTACTCTTATGGACAAGTGGTAGCTTACACTTTAACAGGAAAGATGCCATGGCATGGCCGGACCTCCGTGAGTGTAGAATTAATTCAGTTATATCATCAGGTTGAGATTCCTGAGGAACTGAGTGGAAAACTGAGGGGTGTTATTCTTGACTGTTGCCTGGAACGCCCAGAAGCACGTCCTACAGCTGATAGATTAGTTCTGGATTACTTTAGAGGTGAGGCCATCATTTTATTAATTTTTATTATATCTACCAATGAAATACCAGGTGAGCTTTGCAAAAACTTGATATCTTCACATGTGAAAATAACATGTGATTGTTATCTTTACACGTTAAAATGTCACTGTTGCTTTGGCTACATAATAAATCGCGCCTTTCACACCAAAAAACTATTAAAGTGTAATGGTTTGGTATTTCATTGGTGTTTATATAATAAACAGAACATTACATGGCCGCTTGGAGATACAAAATTTCTCTTCTCGTATTGAAAAAATATTTCACTAATTTGCTGTGCTTACTCGTGAAATATTTTTCAACACTGAAAGAGAAATTTCATATCTCTGCACGGCAATGTAATATCCTCTATATATTTAACTGTGATGCTACTTAAGGATAATGATCTTAACCACAGATGTGATCCTTAAAAGTCGTTTTGCCAGCGTCCTGTTCGCTAATATCTTAAGTTGTTTTGCTAAAGTGTTAATTCATTTTCCCAACTTTTATCACCTGACTGATGGCTTAAACAAGAGGTATACAAATGTGTATCGACTTTTCTTGTCATGGCTGCAACAATGAGGTATATACTCAGGGTTTTCATTAAGAATTCTAGTAATAGTCATAGGCTATGGATTTTTAGCTGGAGAATTCTGTGTAGTCAATGGAGAATTCTCCAATCTCTGATGCCTAATGAACACCCTATGTACTTGCATAGCACTCGTTTTGTTTCATAAGCCTAAAACACCAATGAAAGGGTTGTTAGCAAAATGACACATAGGCCAAACAACTGGACACCACTTTTTCCATCAGCCCAACTGATTGAAAAACAACCTGAAAAAAGTCAGGCTTGTCCTGGATCCTTGCCATGACCAAGCACAGCATTTTTAACCCAGAGATAAAGCAGCTAATCAGGTTGTATTCTGTGTTGGTTATTTCCCTGCGTAAGTTTTTTTCTCATGTCTCTTTCAGCTTCTAAGGTTCATCATTAGCAGTCATCTGTTTAATCCCCTAGTCACATTATGTGATTTATTTAATTTACTACCATATTTAGCATCATTTTGATTAATTTTTAAAATAATCTAGTATTTCATTACACCCATAAATTATGTCATTTTATGTTTGTCGTAGGTGATATGAATCCTTATCAAGCTGAAGCTAAAAGTGCTGAATTCTTCTCATGTGGCTTCCTTCAGCACACTTCTATTTTTGTTGCAGAGAGCTTGGTTGATGAGGTAAAGATTAGGCTTAATTCTGAGGCACAGTTGAGTGACACAAATTTTCCTACCCAGCTTATCCTGCATTACTAAACAGGGCTAACCCCTGGGTAAAAGGGTCATTTATTGAAGTAAAGGTACCCTAATACTTTAAAAAAAGGGGTTTAAAATGAATGGTCACGCCCAAGAATTTTGTCTAGTGAGTCAAAAGTTAGAACCACTTTTTACAGCATCAAAAACACCACTAAAAAAGTGCTGCTTTCATTGTTATGGTCACACTTTAGGATTTCTTCCACAGACTCAAAAGAACCACCCTGTTCAGCATAAACAATACCACAGGAAACTGCTGCTCAGTAGCTTTCATTTGGATGGTCGCACTTAAGGATTTTATCCACAAACTGAAAAGGTACAAGTACCTTAATACATGACTCAATAATTGACCCAGGAAGTGGAATGGTAACTGTATCAATTATTCCATTTAATTCATTGCAATTTTGCCCTGAGTCTAGTTTTGCTGCTTTTCAATCAATTAGTCCAGTGAAGGATTCTTCAAGACTGGAGTGCGTCCCCAGGGATTTCCTGCTCAGTGTCTTTTGTGCAAAGTGGAAGTGGGAAATAAAGAATATAACGACGTTCCCAAAGAATGGACATACGAGCAAAAATACCGGGAGTATTATGGTCACTTTAGACAGGTATAGAAATAAACATACACTACATACCAGGACAGCCTACCTGGCTGTAGCATGTATCTTAGGCGTTTTAACGGGAAGTGGGAAAGGAACAAACTGGGACGCGCGAGAACGCAAGGGGCACTCGAGGAAAAGGTTCTCCTACTTTCTCCCTCGCGTGCGCCCGATTTTTCCTTCCCGTCTCTCGAACCCCTGTGGTACAGGACGTCAGCAGTACACTCGAGGAAGCCTCCCTGTCCACAGGGTTTTTCACAAAGAAACCTTTTTTAAGGGAAAAGTCCTAGTAGCCTGCGTAGCAGGCGCTTGCAGGTAATGGTCGCAAGAAAGATCGGGGCGCGCGAGGGAGACACATTTTGGGAGATTGAAGACAGATCTCCAGTAACGTAAGAAAACAAAACTCTGCGCGAAGCTTTCTCAGCCACAGCAGAATAGCAACACCTTAATTTCCAAATAGAGTTTTCTATGGTGGCCCACTAACACCATAGCAATTTTGCACTTTTTTGGTGAAATTTTGACATTTTCCATTCTATTTGCCTTTATTTTTTCTTTTTAATTTGTTTTCTTTTGATTGTTTAATCTTTTTTAAAATTTCCTTTCTTTTAATTATTTTTATCTTTTTTAAAAATTTCTTTTCTTTTGATAATTTTTATCTTATCTTTTTCATTCTCCCTTTTTAAACTTTAATTGTTTCTTCTTACTTTTTATTTTGAGTTATTTTGTAATTTTTATTTTTATTTGGTTATACAATTTTTTATTATATAAAAATTTACAATCAGTGATCTAATTTTGAAAAAAAAAAACGGTCTCTAGCCCAGCAACGCCATAGACCAGAATTCCTCACGCGTAACGAAGCCTTCCTTTTGCGCTTTTTCTCACTTCAGTGAATCGCCCGTGCCATATTTCTGCGTGCAGACAGATTGCCTGCAAGGTATAACTGACATAGACTATGGCGTCGTAATACCATTGAGTGGTTTTTTGTTTTGCATGTCTAGGCGGTCATCGATAAGACGATAGGAAACCTTCCCTCCATTGCGCTTAAATCTTTGATCACTTCCCGAGAGGACGAGGAGGAGCGACAGGAAATCCAGCTTTCATTTGGCCAGACAACATACTGTCATCACAGGGCCGTAAGAGAGATCTGGAGGAAACTAGAGGAGTCTAAAAAAAGAGAGCTTGTCGTGTGTAAGAATACGGTACATCCTGTTTTTAGCACCTCATTTGAGCTCCATGTGGCAGTGCTTACGGCGGACAAACCGCAGAAATTTATATTTGCAAGAAGATCTAATCGAGGTGAGTTATTTTAGGGGACAGACTCGAGACATTCTGTCCAATTTTTGGCGCTCAACTTTATGTCCTCGCTTGCCTGAAAATGTTTTGCGCTGTCCCCAGGGTCCTTTTCCATTCACAGGGATTTGTAGGGAAAACCAACCTGGGAACTAGGTCGAAATTTGAAGGTAGGCATTCGACAAAGGTTACTGGTCGTTTCGCCCCTCGTTCTATAAGCCAGAAAGCAAAACAAGCACGCTTCAAATATAATATTCCTCGTTCTAGAAAAGGGGGGCTATTTCATTTTTAAGCGCGCTAAATAACTCGAGATAGGGGGCTAAGTAACCGTGGCGAAATGACCTGTTACCTCGACGAATGCCTAATTTCTGTTGCGAACTCTTTCGAGTATGTTACCGTTTCCTTAGTAACTGCTGATCAGTTATAATACGTGCTGACAATAAAATTAACCAATCAGATCTCAGATCAATCAGGTGTACCTGGTGCCAAAAAGCGCGGGAAAAGGCGTGGGAGCTAGTAACGAGGCTTTAGGCACGAGATTTTCAGCCAATCAAAAAGCGTAGCAATTCAAGGTTAAAGGCGTAGACATCGGCAATAACTTAACAATAACTTAAGTAGTGAATACACAAAGAGAGGTAGATCAAAGATAGTTTGACAGTGGTAATAGTCTTAATTTCTTTCGAAATTGTCCTCTAGATTGTAGTGTTTTTATTTCCTGCGGCAACGACTACCATAATCTATTTCCGGTAAATTGAACAGAAAATTGTTGCCATAATTTGTGGAGATCTTAGGAAGAGTAAGACGTATTCAGTTTTTGCTTTTTCCTTAATTGCTTGACATGGTTTCCCCGGCATTTGGTTTTAGAGGGAGTGACAACTCCCGGCAAATTCACTTGTGGAGCCGTGGAAAGCGCTTCAGTAAAGGACTATGTCTACAAAGATGGCGAAGGTTACGTGGACCTAATCCAGACAGCCGCGCGAGGACTGGAGGAAGAACTTCGTGTCGAGTTGAAAGGAAGCGATATCGAGGCTCTTTGCCTCAAAGCCGTATACCTCAAGTTCGACACGCACGAGTGGGGTTGTTGTGGCTACGTCGACCTGTCGGATCCCCGAGTCTCGCCCGAACGTCGACTGACGTTCGAGCAGTTAGGCTCTAGGTTCACCACAGGCCCAAAGGACAAGTTCGAGCACGAAGAATTGGTTGCTGTGGACTTTGAACTTTCGAGGATGGTCGAGTTCGTTCGGGAGAATTACGAGGATTTTGCCAGCTCTGCTAAGCTGGTGGTAGTGAAAGTTTTGCAATCGTTTTTTGGAGTTGCTGCTGTGGAGAGAGCCTTTCGTGTTTACATGGATGATCGAGAGAGCGTTTCCCAAAATGCTGGTTCGTAAATTTAAGCCACCTCGTTGCGGGAACGGGTCAAAAATGTTTTAGGAGCAACTAAACGAAATGAAAATCTCACACGGGAAATTTGTACCCTTGATTTATTTGTTAAGAAGGTTACATCAAGTAAATGACATTTTCGCAATTTAGCTAGAAAACAACAGATTACTGAACTAAGGAACAGATTTTAAGGGAGGCTACGGCTCACTGCTGATACAATCTTCTTCCCAGTTTTACAACGACCCCGGCTAAAAATAATTATGTTCAATTGTAAAAGAAATTGTAGAAATGGCTTATTCGAGAAAACTCCCTCCTCAAATGATAAGAGCTGCATGGTAGCGAAGAATACCATACTTTAAATGAAAGAAGATCATCGCAGTATAAACGCAACTTTTGCAGTTGCGGAAAGAGAGCCTGAAAAAACAAAGGGCATTTTATTTTCGGGGTCCAAAGGAATGGAATGGGCTACCTGACAATATTAAGAACACTAAAGATATTGATAGTTTGAAGTGGAGACTTTTTAATAAGATATTTCATACGAAATAATTTTGAATATATTTTGAATAATTTTGAATGTATTTTGAATTTAATTGAACTACTGTAAATAAGTTTTCTTTTCTTTTCTTTTCTCAATTATCAGTATTATGTAACAATTAACATTGTGACTGAAAAGCCCTGTTGAAGGGAGTCTCAATAGGGAGCTTAAGCAACAACGTTTTTGAGCGCCGCACGTCAACCGGAAGTGGCCTTTTTTCATTTTTTGACGGTGGTTTCGCGCAAATTTTCAGTCAAATCGCCTCTATAATAGTAAAGAAGCTAAGGAATACAAATTTTATATCATCAAGGCATGTTAAGAGGGAAAATACCTCACTTCCGGTTGACGTGCGTCGCTCAAAAACGTCGCTGCTTAAGCTCCCTAATAAAGTATGTATGTATGTATATATGTATTCTCTGAGGGTATTCTCTTATATAAGCTATATAGGCATGCATGTCCCCACCCCTGAGTGAGGGTACTCTATTAAAAAAGCTATATATATTCTCTTAAATAAGGTGTATAGGTATGCCTGTCCCCACCCCTGTAGGACTTGAATCTGGGATGTCCAGTACCCTATTACCACTCAACCATGTTTGTCAAATATTGTAACATCATCAGGGTTGAGGAGTACAGGGAGAGTGAGTCAGAAGGAATTAACATCATGGGAGCAACTTGGAGAGGGAGGGTTCTCAAGTGTTTACAAAGTAAAACTCAAAGGCAATGATGTAGCTGTCAAGGTTCTGAAAAATCTCAAGGAAACCAAGTCACTGCTTACAGAGGGAAATCTCCTAAGGTATTTCTACTCATGATTCTCAGAAGTTACTCAGTTTCTTAGTTACAGGAGATGAAGAATTTTGTTTTGGTTTGGCAATCAGGCATTTTTGGATTTTATCACCAGGGGAAGATAAAATTAATCTGTTATCAAGTACTTCAGGGTGTTAAAAATTCTGTTAACTATTAATATGGTGGTATCTGTAGTGCACTACTACTCCACACAGAGCCGGCCAGAAATGTTGGAAAATACCATAATACTAACAGAAAAATATTAGAAATACACCCAACACTGAAAGAAGTGTAGTTATCAGTACAGTTGTATAGTGCTGAAACTATGAGTCATTTCATCTGAAATTACCCCTGAACATCAGCATGATAATTATGCATTTTTTTTTCACTTATTATTGCTCCTGTTTTGTATAGCTTGGTTCATTTTTTCTAACTAATTGTGCTCATTAGTACTTCTCTTTGTATTTTAACAGGGATCTTCGTCATGACAACATTGTTGCATTTAGAGGAATGAATATTTTGGAAAGTGATATTGTACATGAGAAATTTACTCTAAAAGCAGGCGCTCCTTTCCTAGTGGTGGAATACATCCCTAAGAATCTGTACAGATTTGTGGAAGATCACAAAACTCCTGATTCTCAGGGACTTCCCAGAAGCCAGGTGTGGACTATTGGCAGAGGAATGGCTAACGGTTTGATGTACCTGCATGGTTTGAATCCACCCATAAGCCACAGAGACTTGAAGCCTGATAATATTCTGGTAAGTCTTTCTCTTTTTAAGACTTTGTTGCTATTTCTCTTTTTGAGTAAAGACTGTGTGATTGGTCCATTAGATCCACTGAATTCTGAGACTTTCTGTGGGTATTTCTGATTGCTATTGATGAGACAATGCTCTTAGAGATGAAAGTGGTGAACGCTTCCCGGAGGGCACTCCCCTATAAACGTGATGGGAGCCCCCCCTTCCCGGGGAACTCTTTACCATTCTGATCAAGTTTGACAATGTAAGTTTTGCAATGATGGCAAAAGAATGTGCCAAAAAGTGCACTCCACATTTATTAAGTAAGGGGTATCCAGCAATGAATGAATCCTTTTTTCAAATTTTCTTTAATGAATGAATGCCTCCATGGTGTGATTTGTGTATGCTAGAGAAGGAAATGAATCCAGGGATGTGGTATATTATTTTTATAGGCAATGTGGTTAAATGATTTATAATTTGAGGTTTGTTCATTTGATTGCATTATTAGCTGGATGTCTGGAGTTTGAGGGTTAAATTGGCAGACTTTGGTTTGTCACGGACAGTAGAAAGAACTGGAAATGATCTCTCTTTATTCCATGCACGCTGGTCAGCTCCTGAGGTTTGGGAAGATTACATGTACTTTGATGAAGAACCTGTAGAAGGTAAAGGTCCATGAAAACACAGATTGTCAATGAACTTATTTACATTGACTAGCAAATCAGACTTGAGATCAATAAATGAAACTACTGGGGGTGGAGTGGGTGGGAAAATGTTGACAAGCTCCAAACTGGCTGAAAGGGCGTAAGTGATCTGGAAGACGATCTGCTGAGGCAGCTACTACGGACAGCTAAGGGGCGTGTTCTCATTTGGTAATTACACTTCATCACCTTGGGTGATTTTGGTTGTCTGAATTGTAATAATAGTGCACCAAATAACTGTAGGAAAACGTACTACAACAATCAGTCAATAAAAATATTTCTATTTAAAATACTTTCAGCTGAGAATGACTATGTTGGTGCTGGATTTAATATTTTACTCTAAATTACCACTTCACCTCCAGAGAATGAGGCTCTTGAAGACCAGCCCACAGAAGATTTTACTGATAGCCAAGACGATGAGTTATTTTTCCTGCGTGCTGACATGTACTCTTATGGACAAGTGGTAGCTTACACTTTAACAGGAAAGATGCCATGGCATGGCCGGAACTCCGTGAGTGTAGAAGGAATTCAAAATAATATGATTCAGTCTCTTGATCAGGTCGAGATTCCTGAGGAACTGAGTGGAAAACTGAGGAGTGTTATTCATGACTGTCGCCTGGAAGACCCACAAGCACGTCCTACAGCTGATAGATTAGTTCTAGATTACTTTAGTGGTAAGGGCATCATTTTATTAATTTTATTTTATAGACACGAGACAGTGTTTTACTCGAAAATATACCACTCGTAAAATTCATAAAAACTACATCCAGGACCCTAGTGGTTTATTTTCCATATTCTCACACGTGAGTTTATTGATGATGTAATTTAGGTAATTTCCCTCTATTATTTTATCGATGTCATTCTGTCTATATAATAAAAAGAACATTACACGGCGGCTTGAAGATATGAATTTTATTTTCGAGTAGCAAAACAATATTTTACTCACTCGCTGCGCTCGTTCGTAAAATATTGTAAAACAGAAATCGTCGTCAATTTGTAAACATTATCTTAGTGAACATAACTCGGACGTACCACCTTCTCTTTCAGAACAATTTCACGTGCTCACTAAAGGTTCTAACAAATTTGATTGCCTAATTAAGGGCCTGTTTACATGGAGTGGGGGACCCCGGTCTAGTGGGGTTGATTTCTTTTGTTTTCACGCTCTGGAGGACACAAAACAAAAGAAACCTACGCCACTTAGACCGGGGTCCCCCACTCCATGTAAACAGGGTCTAAGGAGATGCTCTTTATAAGAAAACTCAAACCATCCCTAAACGTGCAGGTGGAATCGATTCGCGCAAAGGTATTCTCTTGAAGAACTTGTGATCCTTTGTTATTATGCTAATTTGTAGAGACTATAGAAATCGAATCTTCGCATTATTTATTCATTTTGCCTTGAGAATGGTGTCATGATGATACCGAAACGTCGGCTTTTAACGTTTATATATTTTGCATCATTTTGATTAATTTTTAAAATAATCTAGTATTTCATTACACCCATCAATAATGTCATTTTATGTTTGTCGTAGGTGATATGAATCCTTATCAAGCTGAAGCTAAAAGTGCTGAATTCTTCTCATGTGGCTTCCTTCAGCACACTTCTATTTTTGTTGCAGAGAACTTGGTTGATGAGGTAAAGATTAGGCTTAAAATTCTGAGGCACAGTTGAGTGACACAAATTCTCCTACCCAGCTTATCCTACATTACTTAACAGGGCTTTCCCCTGGGTAAAAGGGTCATTTATTGAAGTGAAGGTACCCAAATACTGAAATAGGGGTTTAAAATGAATGGTCACGCCCAAGGATTTTGTCTAGTGACTCAAAAGTTAGAACCACTTTTTACAGCATCAAAAACAGCACTAAAAAAGGTGCTTTCATTGTTATGGTCACACTTTAGGATTTCTTCCACAGACTTAAAAGAACCACCCTGTGCAGCATAAACAATACCATAGGAAATTGCTGCTCAGTAGCTTTCATTTGGATGGTCACACTTAAGGATTTTATTCACAAACTGAAAAGGTACAAGTACCTTAATACATGACTCAATAATTGACCCAGGAAGTGGAATGGTAACTGTATCAATTATTCCATTTAATTCATTGCAATTTTGCCCTGAGTCTAGTTTTGCTGCTTTTCAATCAATTAGTCCAGTGAAGGATTCTTCAAGACTGGAGTGCGTCCGAAGGGATTTCCTGCTCAGTGTCTTTTGTGCAAAGTGGAAGTGGGAAATGAAGAATATAACGACGTTCCCAAAGAATGGACATACGAGCAAAAATACCGGGAGTATTATGGTCACTTTAGACAGGTATAGAAATAAACATACACTACATACCAGGACAGCCTACCTGGCTGTAGCATGTATCTTAGGCGTTTTAACGGGAAGTGGGAAAGGAACAAACTGGCACGCGCGAGAACGCAAGGAGCACGCGAGGAAAAGGTTCCCCTACTTTCTCCCTCGCGTGCGCCCGATTTTTCTTTCCCCACTCTCGAACCCCTGTGGTACAGGAACGTGAGCAGTGCACTCGAGGAAACCACCCTGTCCACAGGGTTTTTCACAAAGGAACCTTTTCTAAGGGAAAAGCCTTGGTAGCCTGCGTAGCAGGCGCTCAGAGGTAATGGAAGCAAGAAAGATCGGGGCGCGCGAGGGAGACACATTTTGGGAAATTGAAGACAGGTTTGCAGTAACGAAAGAAAACAAAACTCTGCCCGAAGCTTTCCCAGCCACAGCAGAATAGCGACACCTTAATTTCCAAATAGAGTTTTCGCTTTGAGTCTACTCGCACGCTCTCTCGGTCACCCACTCCTAAACCAAGACAGCTTGCCTGCAAGGTGTAACTACAATAAACCATTGACATAGACTCTGGCGTCGTAAGACCATTGAGTGTGTTTTTTTTTTTTTTTTGCATGTCTAGGCGGCCATCGATAAGACGATAGAAGAACTTCCCGCCATTGCGCTTAAATCTTTGATCACTTCCCGAGAGGACGAGGAGGAGCGACAGGAAATCCAGCTTTCATTTGGCCAGACAACATACTGTCATCACAGGGCCGTAAGAGAGATCTGGAGGAAACTTGAGGAGTCTAAAAAAAGAGAGCTTGTTGTGTGTAAGAATATAGTACATCCTGTTTTTAGCACCTCATTTGGGCTCCATGTGGCAGTGCTTACGGCGGACAAACCGCAGAAATTTATATTTACAAGAAGATCTAATCAAGGTAAGTTATTTTAGGGGACAGACTTGTGGTTTAACATGACGTGAGACATTCTCTCTAATTTTTGGTGCTCAACGTTATGTCCTCACTTGCCTGAAACTGTTTTGCGCTGTCCCCAGGGCCCTTTTCTATTCACAGGGATTTGTAGGGAAAACCTCCCTTGGAACTAGGTCGGCATTCGACAAAGGTTACCGGTCATTTCGCCCCGGTTACTTATTCCTCGTTCTATAAGCCAGAAAGCAAAACAAGCACGCTTCAAATATAATATTCCTCGTTCTAGAAAAGGGGACTATTTCATTTTGAAGCGCGATGAATGACTCGAAAACAGGGGGCTAAGTGACAGGTTACCGACAAAATGAGCGGTTACCTCGACCAATACCTTATTTCTGTTGCGGACGCTTTCGAGTTTGTCACCGTTTCCATAGTAACTGCTGATCAGTTATAATACGTGCTGACAATAAAATGAACCAATCAGATCTCAGATCAATGAGGTGTACCCGGTTCCAAAAAGCGCGGGAAAAAGCGTGGGAGCAAGTCACGAGGCTTTTGGGGCGAGATTTTCAGCCAATCAAAAAGCGTAGCAATTCAAGGTAAAGGCAATGACTTAACAATAACTGAAGTAGTGTGTTTGAAACTAGCAATACACTAAGAGAGGTTGATCAAAGATAGTTTGACAGTTGTAATAGTTTTAATTTCTTTTTAAATTGTCCTCCAGATAGTAGTGTTTTTATTTCTTGCGGCAACGACTACCATAATCTATTTCCAGTAAAGCGAACAGAAAATTGTTGCATAATTTGTGGAGATCTTAGGAAGAGTAAGACGTATTCAGTTTTTGCTTTATCCTTAATTACTTGACATGGTTTCCCCGGCATTTGGTTTTAGAGGGAATGGCAAGTCCCGGCAAATTCACTTGTGGAGCCGTGGAAAGTGCTTCAGTAAAGGACTACGTCTACAAAGATGACCAAGCTTTCCTGGACCTGATCAAGACAGCCACCCGAGGACTGGACGAAGGACTTGGTGTCAAGTTGAAAGGAAGCGATATCGAGGCTCTTTGCCTCACAACCGTATACCTCAAGTTCGACACACACGAGTGGGGTTGTTGTGGCTACGTCGACCTGTTGGATCCCCGAGTCTCGCCCGAACGCCGACTGACGTCCGAGCAGATAGAGTCAAGGTTCACCTCAGGCCCAAAGCGCAAGTTCAAGCACGAAAATCTGGTTGCTTTGGACTTTGAACTATCAAGGATGGTCGAGTTCGTACGGGACAATTACGAGGATTTTGCCAGCTCTACTAAGCTGGTGGTAGTGAAAGTTTTGCAATCGTTTTTTGGAGTTGCTGCTGTGGAGAGAGCCTTTCGTGTTTACATGGAAGATCGAGAGAGCGTTTCCCAAAATGCTGATTCGCAAATTTAAGCCACCTCGTTCCGGGAATGGGTCAAAAAATGTTTAGGACCAACTAAACAAAATACAAATCTCACACTTGAAACTTGTACCCTTCATTTATTTGTTAAGAAGGCTACATCAAGTAAATGACATTTTCGCAATTTAGCTAGAAAACAACAGATTACTGAACTAAGGAACAGATTTTAAGGGAGGCTACAGCTCACTGCTGGTACAATCTTCTTCCCAGTTTTACAACGACCCCGGCTAAAAATATATTCAATTGTAAAAGAAATTGTAGAAATGGCTTATTCGAGAAAACTCCCTCCTCAAATGATAAGAGCCGCATGGTGGCGAAAAATAACACACTTTATATGAAAGAAGATCATTGCAGTTATAAACGTGAAAAGAGAGCCTGAAAAAAAATTCATATCTCATTATCATTTTCATTTAAATAATTGTTTGTTTGTTTATGTGTCACCTTCATCACATTTATTTATTTATATATATATATTTTTTTTACTTAGCCCATAATGAAAATGGTTAACTAAAGCAGTGCTGTACATTTTTAAAATACACAATAGTTTATGTAATTTAAGTCTATATCTACATTGGAATACGAAAACCGAACTGGTGAGAAAAAGGTCTCACTTGCACACCAGGATTACTGTGACGTAACTCCTTCAAGTTGCGCGCGAAAGCTCACGGCGGTTGCCGGTTTACATTTGAAGAAATTGTGCATGATGTGAAATGACGTAAGCCATCAAGTGAAGAAAACATCCTACTGGTTGTTTTTAATCAAGCTGCGGTGAGTTAGACGCATTTGAAACTTTATTTCTAATTCGTTTTGGAAAGAAAACTGTTAGTACCTTTCTGAGGCATCGCCTGCAATTGTTATGATCTCTTATATTTGCACAGACATTATCGTATCGAAAGCAGATTTTTGAAATATGAGCAGGAAACGAGCAGCGACCTTTCAAGTTTGAAACAACCAAAAAAGTTGGAAGTTCAGGACTTGTACGGCAGAAAATAACTATCTTTAAACATGGATTGATGGTAGTCGACTCAGGCACGTAGGGCCAGCCATGGTACCACGGTTTGAAACGTGCGGAAAGAGAGTCAAAAAACAAGGTTTCATCCACCGTTAACTGTTTATTTTTTTCTGCTTTATGTACGCGAATTTTATTATAGTTTTCTCCGGACTGAGTTGGCTTTCCCTTTTCGGCGCTGACTCTCTTTCCAGGTCTGTTCACTGTGCCCCTGATGAGAATGACAGACCTTCTGAGCAGACTAAACTTTTTAAATTAACATCAGTCTATGTTCCCATCTATATTAGTGAGCTCACTAGAACTTAATAACAGTGTGACATAGCTATTTATCTATGTAATTCTCGTACCATAGCTAAATGAGTATTTACCACTTACTCATCAGCATATGGGGCGAGGGGGCTGGGGGGGCTGCAGCCCCCCCTGTCGGAAAAAAAATAGTATTATTCGGGCAAAACTGATGTACCGTTCGGGCAAAGACACAGTAAAAAATATTTTATTATTTAATATCTTGATTTATTTGTTTTCATCCCGCATTTCGCCTAATCTTCTAACTGATCTCTGTACTACTTCACGGGATGGCTGTTATTACTCGGAGTTAGAACATTGAGTTCTGCCGAGGGACTGGGAGTGATAATCAAGACCGCGCTGGGACTGGAACTGCGTATGAGTTGGCGGCCGTGTTGATTTATGTCTGTGACCAACAAGTTTCATTCGGGCAAATTATGTTCAGCCCCCCCAACAAAATTTTTCCTGTACGCCGGTCCACTTACTTAATGCTATACATTCTTATTAAAAGTAACTAACGTATTTGCGGCTATTTTTGCCGCAGCTACATGTAGTTTATGCTCAATGAATTAATGTGTGGTCATTGAACTACTGGTGTGGTTATTGAACTGTTGCGTACTTATTGAACTGCTGTGTGGTTATTGAACTAACAAAAAAGAAAACTGTCTCTAAAAGTAAACTAGGCCTTGAAAACGCCATAACATAGCCCTAATACGAGAGTTGTTCGCTCCAGATTATGGGGAGCCTGCTAGCAGCCTAGGTTATAGGCTCTTAGTTCTTGTAATCTTGCCTTTTTATTTAAGTTTGGTGAAGGAAAACAATTAATGGATGTACCCTCCAATCCTCTCACCTAGATCAAGAGCCTCCTCGGGGGCTGAATAGGCCCCACCCCTCTTGAAGAAGAACTTACAGAATAAACAAGGAGTTAAAACCAGTTTGACCCACTTTTAAACCTCATTCATAAATCATTATAACTATTTACACTTAATGCTATGCCCAAAACTGCTATAAGGGTCATAACCCATCACACCTTCCACGGTTGAGCTCACTTGATGTTACAGGTGATCAAAGTGGCCAGCTTAAGGTGACACTATAAATTTATCATATGTCTGTTTCCATCAAACAAGTGTGAAAGATTTCTTGAGTAGCCAAATCATCATTGATTGCCGAACAGCAATTTTTGCTGGTCCCCAGAACTTGCAGAGAACCCTGGAAAAATTTCCAGAAATGCAACGAAAAATCCTTGATAATTTTTTTTACCTTGTTGATCTGTCATCTTCCATTCTGAAGGTATCAGCTGAAGACTACTTTGAAACTGTTCTTGGGCTTCAAACCCTGACCCTGTTGAGGACAATTTAACCCTTTAAGTCCCAAGAGTGACTAACATCAATTTTCTCTTGACAATATCAGTATATGATCAAGTAGAAAGGTAATGAGAATTAACAAAATGATCACTTAAGGAAATGTGAGTTGATCTTTTAACAAAATCTCCTCAGCAGTCTTTCAAGAAATGTGTGGAGGCCAGTGTGAATAATAATTTGTATGTTGATCTTGGGGCTTAAAGGGGTAAATCTTTCATTTTGCTGTCCTGTTGAAGACAAGAGACCTTATCTCATGACCCTGAATCATTTGTTTTGCATATATAATTATGGTAGGTAATTTTTAAACTGACATCGTGGAGTTTTTTCGAAAAATTGTTGGTACCACATAAACAGACCGCTCATGACCAATCTTTACCCTTGTCTGCTCCAAAAAGATACCCTGTTCAAGGAGCTAAATGGTGAAAATGTATACAACTTTTATAAGGCCCTAAAAACCATACCATGTCCAACGGCACATAGCCATATAGGCCAAAAAAGGAAGTGCCCACCCGCCAGTGTGAGGACACGGTAAATTAATGGCCGTCATTCTCGATTTTTATCTTCATGACAAAATTAGAGGCTCACCGGAATGACTCATTCTAGAATGAGGTCATTCAATTTCCATATATTTCTCTGTATTTGTTTACATGATAACCGAACAACATTTCGTTCCTGTTTAAGTCATTCCAATTTTCATTCTGAATGAAATCCTCATTCTAGTACAAAATTTCATTCTGATATCACGTAAACTGAAAATGATCTTCATTCCAGATTGAAAATCGCAAATGGTTATGCAAAATTTGGGGGGAGAAATAAGGTGCATTATGGGAAATGTGGAAGTGGCGTAGTTCGCGCCATCTTTAAGTGTTTTAATCATTCAAAATGAAGAATAAGATCTGCATGCGTGAGGTACCTTTGTTGTCACCACAAAGTATCCCCAAAGGACTTCGTTGTCTTCATTGTTCGTTTTACAATACAAGTAACAATTCGCTATAGTCAAAAGGTTGGAAATACGTTCACTAAAACGACATCATTTCTCTCTGCGCGTTTCTTGTATGAACAGTTCCAATCGTATAGTAAAACCCTCGTGATAAGATGCTGAGGCGAGAAGGTCAACGATCGCGCGTTTAATTTAACAGTTCTGACAATAATTTTTGCTACATAATATTAAAATGCACAATTTCACTCACCAAACGTAGATATCTTATAAAGTATGAATCAGTCTAACGTGCAGAATACCTGCATGAGTCCGCTCTTCCTCCTTTTCGGAATTTCCCCACGTCATATCTTACATCAAGTTTGATTGGCTCAAGTCCCTTCGCCTAATATGGAGACAACTGCACCGAGAAAACCAATGAAAAACGCTGTACTATTCAACAGCATTTTCCGGGAATCCCCTTACAGACTTCGGCCATCTTGGTTTAGGACTTCAGAGCTGAGTACCTGCAACTGGCAACGAAGTACCAGTTATATACAGTAGACGAAATACAGGGATCGTTCTTAAAGAATCATGACTGATTTGGTTGATAACTTTGCAAGTTTATCGTTAAAGGATGTCGCGGGAAATAGGTTCGCATTATTAAACAAAATCCAGGAACAAGTCTGTTCTGCAATCAGCGCTCTTCACATTGGAGAAGACCTGTTATCAATAAAGAAGAATGTTCAATACATCTTGGAGCAAGTCAACAAGAACCTAGATTTGATCAAGGCTTCATGCAAGGAAGAAGGTACTAATCGACACTTGGCGGGAAACGGATTTTATACATTGTCTGCTGGTTGGATCATGCCCGGGGGGGATACTCCTGGGAAATCTTAGCGAGGGTGTGCTGCCCGGTTCTCCAAATCCTGACACTATTTCAGGGGAAAAAAATGCCACTTTTCACACCCTTATTTAGACCTGATCTTTAAGAAATTATGTCATTATTACTTAAATTAGAACAACAACAACAAAAAAGTGTAAGCCCAGGGTCCCGGGGGGAGGGGTACTCCCATACATTACCTATACGGGTATGTGCCCCAAAGGGGTCGTGATTTTGAAGCTCCTGATTTAGAACGGGGTATCCATTTCAGAGGCGTTTTCTAGAACGGGGTATAATATTTCGAACGCACAAAAGCTCCACTTTTGTAAGCAGCTATTTGAAACCATTCAAGGACAGATTGCTTTTAAAAATACAGTTCAATGCGTTAACAAGCAAACTGTTGTACTCTTGTTGCACCCTAGAACGGAGTATAAAAAATTGGCCCATTTCTAGAACGGGGTATCAGTTTTAGGGCGAATGCTAGAACGGGGTATAAAAAATTGGCCCATTTCTATAACGGGGTATCAGTTTTTGGGGAAGTTTTTTCTAGAACGGGGTGCCAATTTGGAGTCCCGGGCGGTACATACCCACCCAAAAAATACCCAAGTGCCCCCCCCCCCAGCCCAGGGTCAGCCGATCAGGTTTAAGTGGCTTTAAATGACACGTAAATCATACATTCATATTACAACAATCTGTAGTGTTTCATTCATTTATTAGTCATTATTTTGCTGCAAAATATCATGTTCTAAAAAGGTATCCAGAGATTGAACTTGTGATGGTCAGGTAAATTCCTTGTCCTTTCCAGAGGAGAGGGGATGAGGGATTTGTCTTTGTCGGAATTTTAAAAAAGGGGGATAGCGATGAGTTGTAAAGAAACTATTACAGTTCTGCAATTTCTCAGTGAACATTTCGTGTATCGAACACCTATATATCGCCATTCACAATTAACTGATCCACGTTCAACATTTGAAGACTAACTTTCCTGGTAAATCGTGAAGGCAAGGTGGTCTACTCTGTAAGAGTGGTTGGAAGGTCGGTGGTTTGGTTACCTTGTCCCTGGTCTCTCC